TAAAAGATTTAAAAAGATGGGAAATGAGCACGCAATTACACTATTCCTAAAAAAACGGATTTAAGAAATTTTGTCATAGAGTTGGTATTTTTGAAAACGCAATAAAGAACCTACGATTAATTATCAACAAAATTTCAGACAAAAAGGAAATAGTAAAATTATTCTTTAAAATCCACGTATAACGATCATGTCTACATTGAAAAGACATTGCCGGACGGACAGTTGGAACAGGGTTCCAAGCATGTATTACATGTATTTTTGTAAAGAATATACAGGTCGCATTTAATGCCTGATCGAGATAATAGTTTACCCTAATCGTTGGTTGCGCCCACAGACGAACTCTATTTAAATTGGAGATAATCGGTCAAAATTACAACATATAGCTCTCATATATATCTTCGTCCGATTAGCTTCTTATTGTGCACCAAACGTGCAATATTTGGCCAAATTGGTGGAAGTGTGTCAAATTTGGTGGAAATCGCTTCAGATAAGCTATATCTTCCATGTATATTCTTCATCCGATTTATTAAATTTTTCCTCCACAGCCGTAATATGCACTCCATAACAATGATATTCGGCGAAAAATATCAGCTACATCTCAGAAATATCTTTGCCAATTTTAGTTCAGATTTGAATTTTGCTTCTGGGTGAGATGAAAAAACTGCAACCAACTTCATACTGCTGTCATTTCTAAGCCATTCGTCTGACAGCTGTTAAAATTATTTAAGTGACAACTCATTAAAGCATTGACAAGCGTAAAAAGCATTTTGGTGAGAACTTTCCAGAGAAAAGTTATTCCTGACTTGATCGAAACCCACGCCACAGTGGCCGAAAAATGGCTTGTTTCTGAACATATTACATTCGGCAAATACTTAAAAATGAGCTCGGTGTAAGGCCATTGAAATTACAAAAAGTGTAAGAACTTACACCGCAACAGAAGGAAAATAGACTCATAGCTGCTAAAAAGTTGCTTCGCTTGGCCAAAAGTTGTGTACTGCCGAATTTTGTTTTCTCCGATGAGAAAACATTATTTGTCCAGCAGTTTGTAAACAAGCAAAATTATCGTGTTTACTTGCCAAAGAGGTCAGCTGAAAATGTGCACCTTCGGTTGGCCACCAGATCTCAAGCGCCGGCCATGGTGATGGTGTGCGCCGCCATAACAGCCGATGGTCGCTCTCCGCTCGTATTAATCAACCGTGGCATCAGAATAAATGTCGAATATTACCGCGAAAATATTCTGGAATGCAAGGTTGGCTCTAAAAAAGTTTCTCAAGCAAGAGCTTCCCCAGGAATGGGCCAAAATACCGTAGAGCAGCATTCGGGCAGCGTGTGACGGTTTCGTTGGCCGTTTGAAGGCCATAATTTGTGCCAAAGGCGACCAATTCGAACAAATCTAAACTTATATTAAAATTGGATGCTATTTCCGAAATTTTTTGCTTTTATTCAATACAATTAAAAAAATGTAAAAATTATGGCATTTGACTTTGATGCAGTTTTTTTATCTCACCCTGTACGTGGCATAAATTTTGCTTATTTATGCACCCGCTAAGATGGATGTTATTATGTTTTAAGGATGGTATATTTAGACGCAGTAGCAGTATTCTCTGCCACGCCTGGCTTCATCTTTTGTTGTGTCAGTCTCTTCGAGGCAAGCGGTTAAACGTCGCAGTGTCTCACCAGTAGGCATTGAACGGCCAGGAAATCTGCGACGAAATTCACGTTGTGCCAAAGTCACCGACCAATTGTTGGTCAAAAAAATAGTCACCAATATTCCATGTTCTTAAGCAGTGTAGCGTAACATTGTTTATTAACGTGTATATCGCATTAGGGGCAAATCGTAAAATGTATAGCATTTTCGGATAGGAGGATTATTTTTGCTGCACCTTGTATAAATCCATTAAAGTTTCTATGGAGTTTATCGAAAGTAGCTATGGGTCTAGCTCGACTCCATCTCAATGTGTGTGATTTTAATACCATGGCAACCCTAATCTTAGACGAGACGAGAGAGAATAGCAACTAGAATTCTATAGAAGAGTATAGAACCGTTGAGAGCGCAGCAAAAGAGATGAAGCTTTATTTCTCTGCTTTGAGAAAAAAAACAAACAACCAAATGATTTTCATCGAAACGCTTTCGTTACGTTTTGGGGCCTACAACAACCAACCATAACATTCATTGGCTGTTGTTGTGCGTATTTTGTGTAGCTCATTTTTGTTTTCTTTCTTGCTGCTCTAAAAGAGGGGGAAAATTGCGCTTTTTAGATCAATTCCAACGGCCAGTCAGCGAGCCAGCCAACCAACCAACCCAATCAGTCAGTCTAACCCAGCTAGCCGCACAAACGTATGTCGGTCGGGTTTTCCATTGCAAAAGAAAAAGGCTACATTGTTGTTGTGTGCGTCGCGTTTTCTCGATGACTTGAAAAAAATTTTTGTCTAAAATTTTTCATTTTGAAAATTTCTTATAAGAGATATTTTTTTTTTTGTTCTTGGTGTTGTATTTTTCTTTGTGTTTTTGTTTTAAGATGGTCAGTGGAATCAGAAATGTTGAGTGATGATAATTGTGAAAAAATTAACCAAAATTAATTTAAATTTTTTGCAAATATTAAGAAAAAATATCTTTATCTGATTTTATAATGAGATTATTTATTTATTGTTTGTTTGCAATTTTCAATTTTCTTCCACTAATAAATATATCAATTTTCAAATACAATAGAAAAATGCAGTGAAGTGAAAAGTTGAAAAATAAAATGAAAAAAAAAAAAATACACCCAACCACAGCAACACAACACAACTGAGGAGGAAAATCCAAGGAGATCAATACCAAAAACGGATTAAAAAAGTGCAAAAGAATCGATATAAAAAAAATACATACGTTGAAGAGCGGGAGATAGGGAGAGAAAACAAAAATTCCCAAAGTGGGATAGAAAATGAGTAGAGTTGAGAGAACAAGAACAACCTCCCAATAAGAAGTGTTATTTTGAAAAGCTTATAAGAAAAAGAAAATTCATGCTGCTCAATGTTTACTTTCTGTGTGATCTCTCATTCTCCTATTTTTTTGGCGAAATATATGTGTCAGCGTTGCCAGATGTTTACACTTCAATTTTTTCTTGAAACTGCATAAAGTAATAATGCTGACTGAAAATATGACTCCTCATGTAAATAAACTTATGTACGGTTTTATTTGAAATATTTGCCTTATTTCGGCGACTATAGCCTTGTCTGAACATATTTTCTCCAAATTGGGTGTACTGGCTTCTAGACTGAATTCGGTCGGATGTGCCAAATTTCAGGTCATTTGGATGGAAATTTGGTCCACGATTAACCCGAAATTGGTTGAAGAAATATGGGAGCTATATCCAAAGCTGACCCGATCTCGATAAAATTTGGCAGAGGTATTCTTGAGCTTCTCAAGATATCTGGTACCAAATATCGTTGTTGTCGAATGCATAGTATGAATGTGATGGACTTAAACACAAAATCGGATGAAACATATATATGGGAGCTTTAGCTATATATTAATGTACTTGCCTCTAGACTTAATTTGGTCGGATGTGCCAAAATTCAGGATATTTGGACTGATATTGTCCATTTGGCCACAATTAACCCAAAATCGGTTGAAGATATATATGTGGGAGCTATATATAAATTCCAACCGATTCTCACCAATTTCAATAGGGTTCGTCATTGGGTCAAACAAATATTGTTTGGAAAATATCTCAATCGAATAATAAATGCGAACTGCTTTTTGTTCACATAAATACATGGACAGACGGACGGACAAACGGATTGATTGACATGCATTAATTGACTCAGAAAGTGATTCAAAAGTAACTATGGGTCTATATGACTTCGTTCTCCAAGTACAAATAAATGCACAAAGACATAAGACAATGCCCTTACCACTATAAAGGTATAAAAACATTGAATAATGTAGCTGTAAAAATTAAAAAAAGCAGCAGAAAAGAAAACGTAGGTTTGCATAGACAATTAGTAATCAGCGACGGTATGGCCCAATACCCCACATGCTTTGAGAAAAAATCCTTTGAAAAATGTATCTAAAGTCACATAAATACCAAAAACGTGGATCTGCATCGATGATTATAATCAGCCGGGGATGGTGGGACCAATCGCAATTCCTAGTTTCCAACTTTGAGAAAAATCAGTTTAAAATGTGTACAATATAGTGTATCGGGAGGTATGGACAGTTCTTTGCAAGAATGTTTTTTGTTCGTTGGGAACACAAAATGCCTTTTACATCAAATTCGGTCGCCAAGTTTGACTGAAATGCCATAAAAATATGTAAAATCGGGGTGTATCGTTCCACAGACAGACATACAGACCAACGAACATAGCTAGATCGTTGCATTAAATTATTATGCTGATCAACAATATATATACTTTGTGAAGTCTAAAATACTTCTTTAGAGGAGCTAAAATGAAATGACAAACTTAAAGTATGGTGGAAGGTACAATATTAAAAATTACAAATTTTCATTCGATGCTTTTTTTGTCCTTTTAATTTTCGATTAAAATATTCATATATTCCCTTTCATATTGTATTTTCCATTGATTGCTATTTTGGTCAGAATATTGTCAAATGTCAAAGGCTGATAGCTTTTTCTTTTAATCTGGCAACATCGAAATAATATATTTCCAGTAAAAAGAGACTGAGAGACAAGAAAGGGAGAAAGAGAGAAAGAGAGCAGTGAGAATTATTTGAATTGAGCATAGCGGTTAAATAGATAAATTTCAAAAACAAAATAAACAAAAATAATAAGGAAAACATTGAAAATGGATTCTGAAATAAAAAAAATAGCGACGGAGCCAACTGTCAAAATTAATTTTGTGCGGCTGTGTTAAATCGACAAACAAAAGGAAAAAAGAAAGAAACAATTTATCTATTTTTTTTTTGAATTTTAATTTCATAATGATAATGAAATATGGCCATATGTTTTCAAAAAAAAAATATTTCATTTATATTCATTTTATTTTTTCCTTTGCAGTGAGGAAAGAAGAAACGGCAAAAGAAAACAAAAGATACAAGAATAAAAAATTATAAATCCACACAAAAGAAAGAAAAGAAAGAATAGCGTGTAATTGAAAGAAATTTTAGTGACAAATTGTTATTGTGACCAAAAAACAGTAGTAATAATAATAATAATATTAATATTCATTGAAAAGAAGTGACCCAATAAACAAAATCAACAAAAAAAAAATAATAAAAGAAAAGGAATTTTACAACCAAAACATCAAGCAACTAACCGACCTGTCAGCCAACCCGCCTTTTGGCAAATCTCGCACATAGTGTTAATTTGTTTTACACTCCCTGTGTGTGTGTGTGCCTGCGTGCGTGTATGAGCGTGTGTGTGTCTGTGAATGCAAGTGCATTATTGCGTGCCTCTTGATATTTAATTATTATCCAAGGGGATAACGCACCGCCAGCCAGCCTATCAGTCAGCCCGCCCGCCCGCCAGACTGTGTCGCACTGTACAAATTGTTTGCGACAGTAACAATAACAAGAACAACAAACAACATTAACGCCACATTGCAGTGCGTTAAAATCCCCATCCCATTTTCAACATCATCAGCAACCGAGAGCCATCAACGAAATTCACATCATAGACATTCATCATCCCCATCAGCTTCATTCTCGTCAGCAGCAGCAGCAGCATTACCAGCATCACCATCGTCGCCATCATCGCCGTGCTAAAGATCCAAGATGACATCTTTAGATATACGCAATAATTCGGCCGTTATGAAACGTGCCGAACAGCTCAAACGCTGGGAAGAGTCCGATACAAATCAACAGCCGCCCGTACCGCGGCCAGATCGCGGCAGCCGCATCAAATTCTCATCGGGTTGTATATTTTTGGCCGCCTGTTTGGCCGGCGATAAAGAGGAGGTTTTGAAACTGCTCGAACAGGGTGCTGACATAAATACCGCCAATGTTGATGGATTGACAGCTTTGCATCAGGTAAGTTTCACGACTGAAATATGTAGTTTTTTTTTCTTTATGTAATTAACAATTATCTGCTATACTTCGTAATGAATGATGTTGCTGTGAATGAAGCCTTGTGATGGTAACTCGGGTTTTTGATTTGCCAATTGAAAATTGAGTTTAATTGATAAACTTTATAAATGCTATGAAAAAGCCAGTAAGGAAAAGTCAAAAGTCGGGTGGTCCGACTATATGATACCCTACCCCACTATGCATCAAATGCATATTTAGCAGAATTTATTTGAAATAGATCGTACCACCTATGAACATTTCTTCATCGATTTTTACTAAATTTGACGGAGACATTTTAATCCAAATTTGATGAACTTGTTCTAGACAGAATTCGGTCGGATTTGCCAAAATTCAGGCCATTTGAACTCATATTGGTCATTTGGTGCACAATTATCGCGAAATCGGTTGAAGATATCTATGGGAGCTATATCCAAATCTAAATCGATCTTGATAAAATTTGGCGGAGGTATTTCTAGGCGAATGTGGGGGACTCGAACACCAAATCGGATGAAACGTACATGTGTCACCTATAGCAATATCTGAACCGATTTTCACCATGTTTTATGTACCAAAGTTCAGGACTTTTGGACAAATATCGGCCATTTGGTGCACAATTAACCCGAAATTGGTTGAAGATTTATATGGGAGCTATATCGAAATCTGATCTTGATACAATTTGCAGAGGTATTTCTGGGTTGTATTTGATATCTGATACCAACCATCATTCTTGTGGGGTGCATATTGCGAATGTGAGGGACTGAAAAATCAAATCGGATGAAACATATATATTTAGGAGCTATAGCTATTTCTGCACCGTTTTTCTCTGAATTCGATGCACTTGCTTCTAGACTGAATTCTATCGGATGTACCAAAATTCAGGTCATTTGAATAGGGTTCGTCCTTGGACCAAACAAAAATTTTTACAATGAAATGTACAAAGACATCAGGGTATTATTACAGTGTGGTGTAGGGTATAAAAAAGGCGAAACTTTATTATATCGGAAAGTAGACAAAATGAGGTTATGTGTGCAACAAGAATCGTACATTTGCCTAAGAGATTGGGATGTAAAGAATTTAAAGAAAATTTTAACCTTTTTAGGAATGTGCGATAAATTCCATATTCACCTCAGATTTCTGGTTGGGAAAAATATTTACAAATCCCAAGTTTGAAAAGAATCGATTGCGTGTTTCGCAAGCTATGAGAGGAGGTTGGAGGGAGGTACCAGAAGGTGTGGGCCGATATCTAACATCTTCACAACAGATCTTATTTCAATAAAAACATCATCTTCACACCATATTTTGTGTTATTAGAAATATTGGAATGCACGAAGTTTGGAAAGGGTACCATTCTTATTTTGAATTTCATGGAGGTATCAGAATTAGTGGTCCGATATATTCCATTTTGTGCACCAGATTCTATGTTGATAAAAATATTGAGATGTGTTGAGTTTGAAAGTAATCGGATGCTCCTTTCGAGTTTTATGAGCTTCATGGCTATTTAAAATGTTGACCTTTTGTGGGGGAGGTACCAGAAAAATATTGACCCGATATTGTCGATATAAAAACCCCTTTTTTATACCCTCCACCATAGTATGGAAGTTATATTGAGTTTGTCATTCTATTTGTAACCCCTCGACATGTACACTTTTACCCTACAAAGAATATATATTCTTGATCAGAATAAAATTATAAATCGATTTAACGATGTTCGTCCATGTGTCTGTCTATTTGTCCGTCTGTGAAAATCATGGACGAATTGAAGTAGGTTGATAAAATTTTACTTAGATGTGTGTTTGGTCTTCAGGACTTTTGATAATGGAAATGGGCTATATAGTACATATTTTGGTAAACCTCCCATATGAGGTACCTCCCTTTATTCGGTATTTGGATGATTTTAGCGACAATATTCACCAGAATTGTTTAAAATGTCGTTTTTGAAGTTCCTATTGGGTACTACAGCTTGTGCAGAAAATTGATTTTGAAGGTCCACATTCTCGTATATCCTCCATATAGCGGTCTCTCCCTAAATTCGAAATTTGGTTGATTTTTGAGACTTTATTCAAAATTCGTATTGTTTCAAATTTCGTATTTGCACTTAGATGTTTTTGCGACATTATCCACAGGAGTTTTTTCAAGTTTTGTATTTGAATATTTCAAGGGCTATGACCTAACCTACGCGGATTCACGTCTTCGTATAGACCCTTATATAACGGTAACTCCCTATATTTCATGATTCCTAACAATATTTTTTAACTTTTTTAAAAAATGTCCAAATTCCTTCCAACTAGTTCGCCCGCCCGGCAAATTTAGCTACTTTTTTAATTGGCTGCAATTTTTTATTATAATTATACCCTACACCACATAGTGGTAAGGGTATTATGTTTTTGTGCATTTGTTTGTAACATGGAGAAGGAAGCGAGATAGACCCATAGTTACTTTTGAGGATCTCCATAGAATTACTTTCTGAGTTGATTTATGCATGTCAGTCCGTCTGTCTGTCCATGTATTCTTGTGTCGCATTTATTATCCGATTGGGATGAAATTTTCCAAACAAGATTTGTTTGGCCCAAGGACTAACCCTATTGAATTTGGAGATAATCGCTAAAAATTAGATATAGCTTCCATATATATATATCTTCGTCCGATTTGCCTTTTATTGTGCACCAAAAGTGTAATATCAGCCCGAATAGTATGGAATTTTGCACAAACAACCAAAATAGGCCTGAAAATATTTGATTGATCGAAATCGGTTCAGATATAGTTATAGCTCTCATATATATTGTTCATCCGATTTGTTATTTTTGTCCTCCGCAGCGGTAATATGCACTCTGTAACAACAATATTTGGGGAAATATATCAAATGCAGCTCAGAAATACCTTTGCAAAATTTTATCGAGATCGGTTCAGATTTGGATATAGCCCCATATATAACTTCGTCCGATTTACCCTTTATTGTACAGCAAACTTCTAATATTTGCCCAAATGGGATGGAATTTGGCACATGCGACCGTATTGAGTCTAGAAGCTAGTATGCCAAATTTGGTGAAGATCAGTTCAGATATAGCTATAGCCCCCATATATATTGTTCATCCGATTTGTTGTATTTGTTACCAACAGCCGAAATATGCACTCCGTAACAACGATATTCAGGGAAATATATTAAATACAGCTCAGAAATATCTTTGCCAAATTTTATCGAGATCGGTTCAGATTTGGATATAGCTCCCATATATATCTTTATGCGATTTCAAGTTAATTGTGCACCAAATGGGCAATACAAGTCAGAACTTATAAGATACAAATGCTTGGGCATATTTAGTTCTTTGAACTTTAAATTACAATTATAATCATAGCGTGTATGATTGAATTGAATTGAAAACTGTTATGTGGAGCTCTACAAAATTAGTAAGGTGGTGTAGGGTATCATAAAGTCGGCCCCGCCCGACTTTAGGTCTTTCTTTACTCGTTTTTTCATTGTTTTGTTAATTGTTTCAGATAATTAGATTGTAATGTGATCTAGAATATTGAAAATTTTGAAGTTATTCGTAGAAGGAATAATTGTGGAAGAAATATTTTATAGTACCCCTCCTCATTCTGATGCATATTTTAACACTTTCATCAATATTCGTTGCTTAAATTTCACACCGGTGGATTTTATGGGAACTTCTTTTTTTTTTTTTTGTTCCAAAATTGTTCACGCATCATAAATCCCTTTATTTCTCACATCCCTTCAAGAACAACAACCACAACAAAAATACATTGTTTTTGTTTTGTATTGTAATTACGACATAATTTCCAAATTAGACCACAACTGAAACAAATGTACGCAAGTTATTGGAGGCGCAATGAAATCTCCTCTCAATGATGTTGGTTGGCTGGATGGAGGGAGGGAGCGGAGCACACACAGCCCAACCACAAATGTGGAAAAAATCCCTTGCCGTTCATTGGAGATGATGATCTCCGTTTTGCTCCATAATAGATTTTTTTCGATTCATAAATGTTGCAAACAACAAAATAACAAAAAAAAAAAAAAAAAAAAAAAAAATTGCCAGTTGGTTTGGTTTTTGGGTTGAGGGGCGGCAGGCGTCATTGGCATTAGAAAATGAGCAGCACGCGTTCTAAACGCTTTGATTCGTTTTTTGTTTTTGAGTATTTTTTTTCGCTTCCACCACAAATTTCATAAAGTCATTATTTGTGGTCTTCGTTTTTCTATTTTTTTTCTCTCGCTCGTCTTTTGTAGTGCGTTGTTATCGTTTTTGTATGCGCGTCTCGCCGCCACATTTAAAAAGCTATAATTTATATTTTTTCTTCTTCGCCTTCGTCTTTCATATTTCTCTGAAATACTCACATATAATCAAGAAAGCGGAAATATTTGTAACAGTGACGTAATGCAATTTCATTGGAGTATACGAAAAATGCAATGAAATTTCGGTAACGTGTTGAAGAAAGTTTAAACACGAAACTTAGATAAGGAAACAATGTTTATCCAACTCTGAGCAATGCTTAACTTTCAGAAATGTACTCCACGCCTTTGCCATTTGGAAATATATTTGAAGCTAAGATCGTGAAGTTTTGAGTAAAGGGTATCGATTGTTACGCGAATGGAACAGAATTGATGGCATAAAAATTGATATTTGTAGATCGTAATAGGCTCTAGCTCTGGTGGCGGAACATAGTAAATATAGGCCCACGTTTTGGTATAGCCCTCCATATAACGATAACTCCCGATATTAGGTGTTTTGATGTTCGTAATGGGTTCTAGCTTCTGTGGCAGAACATAGTATGCATAGGTCCAGGTTTTCGTACAGCCCCCACATAATGGTGCCTCCGGATATTCTGTATTTTTAGATCGTAATGGGTTCTAGTTCCGGTGGCGGAACATAGCATATTAGGTCCACGTTTTCATATAGCCAACCGAAGAGAATGTTGCTCTGCGATATTTTGGCCCATTCCTGGCGAAACGC